GTAGTAGACCAGGAAGGCACCTGATCCTCAATAATAAATTTGTTTTTGGGTCCTCAATTGTGAAAAGTTTTTTCCACTGGAAAAATTGCTCATGGAATCTTCCTTTACTTAGGAAGCCATGGAAGCTGAGGAAGAAGCTGAAAGCTTGGGGCTTCTCTTGAGCTGAAGATCTGAGGCTGCAAAGCAAAAGGATAATGAATACTACAATCAATTACAAAAGATCCCTCACCAGGAATCCAGATTTGTTTTGGTGGTAATTTATTATAGAGGGACCCCTATTTGTTTGAGGGGGGGGGGACCCCCCTTTACTAATCAGGATCCAACATTATAGCATACTCGGAGCGTCTGGGATACCAAAACAACTACCCAATGGGGTTTTCAGGACCAGGTTTGGACCTGGGTCAAACTAAACCCCGTACTGCCAAAAACGATGAAACCAGGCCGCCGGGGAAACCCCAAGCACACCATCCCGCAAATTGGTCCAACCCCCCCGACGGCCAGGCCGTGCTTTTTCGCTGGCCAGGCGTCGAAGCAGAAGCGCGCGAAGCGGGTGCGGATGTGCTCCGCAGTGCCGTGGCCTCGAGGAGTGGCGCTTGGCGCGGAGGGCGAGGAGTCCGAACACCGGTGCGATGGCCCGCGCACGAGGTCCGCCGTGGCGGGGAAATGGCCCGCAACAGCAGGACACCGAAAGACTTCAACTGAGCATGGGGCAAGTCATCTTTAGTCGCCCCACTGCATCTCCCAAATATGCAACATGTCTGCCTGTTGGCTGGCTCTAAATAGATGGAAAAACCATAAATCCGCACAGTTGGAAGATCCAGGTCTATCTCCACTTAGCATCCCACAATGGAACTCCCGCCAAATGCGTGCCCCCTGCAAAAACAGTTTTCCGAATATCACACATGCAGCACTATCCACTTCCCCCGCTGCAGGGAGAGTAATCAAAACCGTGTTCTGTTGGCGTACACGAAACGTTCACTGCCCCAGATCAGCGCAACTAGTTCATTGCAGTTGTAAGACCATATCTTCTACCTATCTCAAGTGTTAAGAAGTGATGGGATCGCCGATCTCAAGTGGATGAGAACCGGAAGTGAAGATTTATCACCATACCCTGAAAATTCAAAAAAAAAAAAACGTTGTTTAGTGGTCTGTACCGAGCAACCATTGTTTTACTAAGGCAGATCAACCGTTCGTTTAATAGTCCTTGAAGGCAGCTCGGGTTCATGGTGTGAGGAAAAGGATGTGGCCGGATCGACGGATGTTCCAAACTGATATAAAGAATGTATAGCCCACTGGCTCGAAGTCAAACACAAAACAGCTTATAATAATTTATAAATAAACTTCTAGAAATTATATTGAAGGCTATAGGGTGCACCAATGCACTCACAAGCCCAAACCATGGTAATGAACACGACCATGGGTGGTTTCGCCCGAAATGCCCAAATGACATCTTTTCGGGGCTGCGGCTATGAACAAACGCCCCTCAAACTCAAACAAAGGGCCCTGGAATCTTCAGGGATACACCATACTTCTCAGGTTAGGTTAGGTAGGAAAGGACCCTCCTGGCACCTATGCGTAAAAGAGAGTCCAATCACATTTATCAAGGAGGGTGGCAAGGTATCCGTAATCGAAGTAGACTCTTAACAAAACCCCGCACATGAAGAGGTCTCACATCGTTTTGCAATCCATGTCTGGGGGGTTATTTGTCCAAGAGTCTAGACATAATTAGACATATAGAGACATACCCTACACATCCAAGTACCTCCTCAGAAGGTATGACTGGACCCTCCTGGCACCCACCCCAGTCCCACCGAACCTCAGAAGGTACGACTGGAGGCCGATCGGGATAGGCATAGGGTATTGGAAGGATGGGGTTTCCCATTCTTGCGTCCCGATCCTTCCCTCGCTTCTTCCATTTGACGAAGCCGGCCGAGGATGCGGCCGAAGAAGGGGCTCACCGGCAAGCTCACGATGCCCTCGGGTCAACGCGATCGTGAGGCCGTCGCCATTGTGAAAGGTCAATCTTATAGTCCCAAAGGATCATTGGACCCTCATAGCATCTCATAGCTGGGGGTTCGACCCTCACCACTATCCCAAACACTCCATGGGACTGCCATAAATGCCGCCCCATTCACCCCCCCGGCACCACCCCTGGCCGTTTCTCGGCAGTCCGACATGGCAGTCCATTTCGGTGACCGGTGGGCCAGGGGGTGGGTCTGGGTCAGTCTAACTACATTCTGAGGAGAGCCAGGACTTTCCAACAGGTGGTGTTAGGACCCTAAGAGGTGATTTCTGGACACCTGTTGGAGGGTCCAGGCAGGGGAAACCTGCAATTTGACTGTCAGGCGAAGTTGATGTCCGTGCGAAGTTTGGACACCCCCCCAACCCAAAACAGCGGCTCTTCTCTACTGCCAGCTCCGGACCAGGCGCTTTCACAAACCCGTTTCCAGAATCTTGTCCAATGCTCCCAATCCCCCTTTCCGGACCGGGGCGCTGGTAAAAACCCACCATCAAATACACCCCGGCACACCGCCTCCACCCGTTGTCACAACGCTCCGCTGCTTTTCAAACGCCGGCCGCACGGACGACGACGGCTGGACGTCGCTGAGATCGGCGCGATCTCGGCCGCCAGCGCTCGGCAGGTCGTCCAATCCGCGGCCTCGCCGGGCCTCTCCAGGCGGCCAGGACCGTTGGGTTTGTTTGGGTCGGTTTTGGGGTTCGGCAGAACCCGGTCGCCCACCATGGATTTTAATGAGTGATTGATTTAATTATAACTTAATTTGATTGTTACATATATGATTTATGGGCTGAATTTCGAAGAACATCGAAGAACCATGATGTTTGACTGAGGATTTCACATGATTTCACACTACAAAACCAGGTCAGTCAGTCTCATTTTGTTTTCAGTCGAACGGAAGGCTAGCGGCTGGGGGAGGCGGAAACTGGGCCTGGTATCAGAAGGATGCGAAACAGGCGGCCATGGCCGTTTGGATATAACATGTTTTTGGAATCTTTTGGAAGTTGGTGCATCCATAGAAGGAATATGAAGGAATATATATATATATATTACCCTAGACTTCCAAGACCATTAAAGAAATGGGAACGACCTGGTGTTTGTAGTGTAAAATCCTTAGTTGATTCCATAAAGCCTATTAAATGAATGGTGGGCCAGGAAGCCTAGGGTTATCCGCATCGACACCTTTTCAACCACTGCTCTGGGTTTGAAAGTTTTGGCATTGGTTTGTTTTCTTGGCATGGTGGGGTGTGTAGTTTGATAGGGGGACCCCGAACTAATGGGTTGACTGGTCCGTTTTGGTCTCTTTCCCTTCTTCCGGGCTGGGGTCGGTCGACCTACATCGTCCGCATGGGTCTTCTTCATAAGCCGGCATGGCATATTGACCTACATTGATACCCCCCCTTGGGAGATGTAGAACTGCCAAGATTAGGTGTGTGTATTCCAATCTGGCCCAGACCCAAACCATCCATGAAACTGGCACACTACAGTACAGCATTACTGACCCTTACAACATCTGAACAAATCACCCCAAGGTGTTGGCAATTATGCCAGTCCCATGGGTTAAGGTTGGATGTACATCCGGCGCATCTTCGGAGGAAAAAATGGGAAACCACTATACGACTATAGCAATGTATTTGTTGGATGTGTTGTTTTTTTCACATCAGCTTTGAAAGAACGGATGTCAAAAACATATATTTGCATGAACTCACGGCACCATACCTGGAATCCTTATAACCAAGCTACTCCATGCTTTGGAAGGACTTGCTCTTCGGCCAAGCGTTTCTCTGGTTGTCTCCCGCCCAACGCGGCAAGGCATCGGGCCTCAGCGAGGCCTGCCAGCTCTCATGCAGCGGGCCATCGGGACCTGGACGCATCGAGGAACGGGGAGCCGCCGCGGTCTCGCTGCCGAAGCGGCCCTGAGCACACAGGACCAGGCAATCCCAGGTGGATTTATAAGGTTTGGGTAGCTCATGAGCGGTAGTGGCTCAACCACCAAAACCGAGCCCTGGCCCACCGGTCACCGAAACGGAGGGCGGTGCCGGAGCCTCTGGCCCCCCCAGTGACGGATGGAACTGCCGGGCCCCTGTGGGCCGCAAGAACCACTGAAGCTCTAAAACTGAGTATCGAAGATCTATACATCTCTTTACTCAGGCGAAACCTGGGACATGACATGACAAAGTGGTCACGAATTCTGTTTGGCACTGTGATCACGCGCTCGACGTCGCTCCAGGTGGCGAAATCGGCCGCTCCACGACCCCACCGTGAAACGGGGACTCGCCAGGCGGCCGGAGAGCCCGCTGATGTCACCCAGGAGGAAGAAGCCACCTTGGGACCTGCAGAAACCAACGGTGGGTGGTCATGTTGTGGCAAGCACCGGCAAGGACCTCCTTTTTGATAGGAAGCAGCCGTAGGTTGGAGACTTGATCCTCCAAAGCAGGGGTCACTCAGGCTCTAGAGCTATATTACATAAACAATGAATAAAAAAGGAATCAAGGAAACATATACGACGTGATACATCGCGAAATGCAAAAAATCATTGCTGTTGGTCAAAGCCCCTTTTACCCAGTCTTTTACCCTAGATCCAAGGCAATCCAAGGAGCCGATTCCTCTTTTTTTGGGGGGGATGTCAGCCTACCATGCTTTAGTGGGAGGTGTTGATTCACATTTCAGAAGCACGTCCAGTGGAACTCATCCCATGATTGGTTTAACTCACTATATAGCCAAGACCGTTTGGAGATTCATTGTGGTCAAGACCTGCAAAACGACACAAGCCCAAAGAAAACCTCTGACTGTAAAACCCACATCGAGGACATTCCTCTCCTTTCAGTCAACCGGAGAAGCCCAGCCTCCAAAAAGGGAACACAGCCTCCAGACCTTCCCACCCCCAAGACTATTCCCAAGGATCCATACAAGCAAATATGGCCCTACTGCATATGTGGTGGTTTTTGGATGGTTTTTGGTGGTGACTGGTCATATTTCATCATTTCCCCACCTAGGTCGTCTGCGTTAAACCAGCAACTGGCAGTCCCAGTGCCCTAAATCCGGCTTCGTCATTAGATGCTCAGAGTCCCCCGCCTGGCTGTTTTGATGCCGCCGGCCTGGCGAGATGATGACTGGCCGAGGTCCGAGCTCCCAATGACGGTCGCAAGGGTCAGCACCGAAGAAGGTACAACATGGTTTCCTCATCCATGCTGGTCCTGAAAAATGTAGCAAACTAGCGGCACAAAGGTGGGCCGATCTATAAACAAACCGAACTGGGTGCTGGTACACCCCGTCAGTTCCCTTGGCAAGTCAACTAGACTTCTCACCTGCTGTTCTCAGTGGAGAACGCCATCACCAAAAAAAAAGGTACAGTTAAATCAACTTTCCCAGGGTCGGGTGAGTTCTGGCCTTTGGGAGGCCCGACGCAAGGGCTTTGGGCTCCAACACCGTCCAGGCACGCAGGACTCACCTCCAGCGCATTCACCATGATGTCCCTTCTGCGAGCGTAGTCCTGGACGGGCGACCCGCGGCGGCTCGGTGGCACGGGCGCGAAGAGCCTCATCATAGTGACTCAGCGTCTTGAGGAAACAGCTTCACTGAATCATGCATCAACATCAAACAACCATTAAAAGGAACTCATGGCTTCATGATGCTTCATGGCTTCGTTCGGGGCATGGCTTGAACCTCGCACCACCCAGCGCGCGCCTGTCTGAGCCACTCGTAGTAGCTCTCCAGGCCGTGGAAGGGCTGGCGAGGCACGGAGCCGGGAGGTCTCAGCACGCCCACAGGTCCAGTAATACCTGTTTTTTTTGATCCCGTTTGGGCTCCTGGCCCACCGGTCACCTCAGGACCGGTGGGCCAGGGGTGGGTGTTTGGGGGTCTAGCCACCGAGCCTGAGGAGATGGGGCGTTCGGAGCCCTAGGGTATTTGCCTTGATTTCCGTTTGCACCAGTGCTTGATGTCATTGACCTCGGCGCCTTGGTGCCAGAGACTCTGGTGGCAAGCTTGGGGTCGGCTCCGAAACCATCTGGAGATAAGGTGTTTGGATGAGCCAAGTGCTTTGTGTGTTTCTTATGGCTCACCAAATCCGATTATATGCTTCGAGCCTCTCGAGCTTTCGACACACATTGGAGTGGTTGCCGCCTGTTCTCTCTCTCTCTCTGTGTCTGTCCTCCATGTTTGCGGCCTCTGCTTTTCCATCTGCTTGTCATCCCCTTTGCTTTGGGAAAACCCAAATGCCAAGAAGAACAACCCTCGAGCACAGCTGAAACAAATGCCCAAACTACCTCATCACCAGGACAGTAACTCCCTACCACAAAGAACCACATGGACCCCGAAAGCCACTAGTGGTTGTGGAGGAAGATGGTCCAAGCCAAAAAAACGGGTCCATTCTCAGATGTTCATGGTGAGTTTGAAGGGGGGGTTCACCGTGTCAACCATCCGAAAAGCGGTGACCTGACATGTTCTTGAGGTCTCCAGGCCTTGATCTCAGACCTCACCCCTATACCAGCACCTTCAAAGGGGTCACCAATGGAAGCCCCTACAACACTAAGGGACCTCCATTGGACACCCCTTGAAGGTCCAGGTATATATATATATATGCAATTAATTCTTATGGAATATTATGGATTTATGGAGCGCGCTTCCAGGTCCAAGAGATAATGATCCACCAAGCAAGGTATGCCTTCTTGAGTAGATACTCTAGTGCTTTGTATGACCCAATCCACCTGTAGCGAAGTTACAAGCAGTTGACTGCGTAGTTGTGTTCTGGCGGCGACTGCGCTACAGTTTCAAACTCCCTGTTCGCTTCAGCCAGTGGCAAGGTGAATGGGTTGGGCTGTGAACACACCCCAGGGCTTCAACCATATCCTCAGAAGGTATTTGGACCCTCCAAACCCACTCCAATCACCTTCTCAGGAGGTGGTTGGAGCCCTAGGGACAAGCATCCTGCAGGACTTTAGCCTGGGCTGCTGCAGACTTACCGTCTTACCTTCCAACACCCAACGAATGGAGCTAGGCAGCATCGTACATGAGCACGGTGCGCGGTCAGCGCAAGACCTGGTCCATTCCTGTCAGATGAGATGCACGTAGTAACCAGTTGTGCAACAGTCTCTCCGGAACTCTCCCAACTGCTCCAAGGCATGGCATTCCAAGGCCCATCCCCATGCCGTTCAGAGTCCGGACTCGCCGACGGTGTCACCACACCTACCTAACATCCGTTGGGGGTGCGATGCGCACCATCGGCTTTCTCAAGTTCTACACGGCCGCCAACGTTCCGCGATGTCGAGGACCTGTGTCTTCTTCTCGTGTGCGGGCAGGGCGTGATGTCGAATCACCCGGGGCCTTCGCAGGGCGATCCCAACCTTTTGCCTTGTGGTTCTCCATGGTGCATATTTGGACTGGAAATGGTGAAGCGATACCCTTTGAAGCGGTTGTGGATGGACATCTCTGATTTTAGTTCTTGAAGACGGCGGCCATGTAAACAATAGAGCCGTGGTTCACACGGCAGAAACCACCTGGTTTCGCGGCCTGGCTTCCTCTGTCGCGGGGCAGCCCCACTGCATCCGCGTCCCTTGCCCAAGCTGTGCTGCGACCTGTGCGCGTGGCGCGGTCCTGTGGCGATCCTTTGGGAAACAGCAGCGATCCTGGGTGGAACCATGGCATGCGCGTGACATGGCGCACGCGGAGTGCATGCAGCTGACAGCTCAAGGAACAGCTGACTGGTCTCTCTGACACCACGGCGACCGATTCTTACAGTATCTTGGAATGTCTTCCAGCAGTCACAGTCAACGGGGTGCCGAACTTGGAGGAAGTCGGGGTGCCCAGCTACTCCACTCACTGGATGGGACTAAAAAACCACCCCATTTGTGACTCCTGGTTGCTGTGTCTTGATTGGATGGATCTTGAAAATGACAAACGGAGTAACATGTAGTTCGCAAAACTCCTCCGGGTAGGAAACTTCCGAGTCCAAAACAATCCATGTTACCCCGTGGGGTGTGCGATTTTCCTTGGAAGGTCTGGGTTGAAGCTCAAGAACCCCTGACCCCCGAGCCGCTTCCCTGCAACATCAAGGGTGAAACGAACTCCACCTGCTTGAGTAGACTGGGTAAGAGCCTCAAGCAATGCAGGTTACCAGTGGTTTGCTGACATCTGCGTGTCAAGCATACCTTCTTCACCCATCTCGCTGACATCTGTCCATCCAGGAGAAACAACATGCGCAACTTCTCAGAACTTGACCAGCTCGGCGGGGTCATGCGCAGTTGTTCTCCTTTTCGCGCCAAGCCCATTGAGGCACCCCTGAAGAAACACTTGCTGAAGTATCCTAATATTGCTGGGAGAGCAAAATCAAAAGCCGGATGTGTATTTGTCGAAGGTTCCTGGGTGGAGTCCCAATTGTTTGTAATTAAACTGGACGCCGTAAACAAATACAAACACACAAAAACACCAGTCCTTTATATGACCCCCAGAATGTCCGTGGCTTGATCCGTTCCGTGGCTTGACACCTCCACATCCACCACCGCCTGCGCCGCTTGCCGCAGCACCCGGCACAAGGCGCGCTGGGTCAGCGTCGGAGCACAGAACCTTCGGGGCGCGACGTTTCTCAGGCGCCGCTCCAAACGACTTCAGACGCGAGGGGGTTGGGAGCGGGGGATTGGGGGAGAGGGCGAGTTGGACGGCCAGGGGTGGTGTGTACCTGGAACCGACTGACCCAGTACCTTAGAAAATGGGACATGACTCCATAAAAACAGGTACTTGTACCCATGTTCCGAGGTACTTTGAGACTCCAGGTAGGTCAATATGCTGGTTTGATACAAACTGAGACAGGTTTAATGAACCCAAAGCACCCTGAGGATCCTGAGGACGACTCAAAGGCAATGAAATTCATGGCGTGCGAGTTTCACAGGCTCGGCGAATCGTCAAATCTTATTTTGTTTGTCCTCAGATCTTCTGCTAAAGGGTTGAACCTTTTGGATCCTTTTGAGGTTTAGAAGTGAAGGCCGCAGGCAACCAATTCGGAGCTGTTCGGGTCTGAGAGTATCGTGATATATCGTCATGTTTTTGTTTCCCGACGGCTCTTCAGGCAATAGGACAAACAGTAGCTATGCTCTATGCAGAGTGATAGAACTCATCCACCACGGGTTTGGGTCGCAAGATTGGTCGACCGATCGGACATGCGGGTTGCAGGAAACGAAGGCCTGGACCCGCCATGTAGGCTTGGGAAGTGCATGTTGGGAACAGCTGGATTAGGTGGTCGGGAGTTCTTGAGCTCGGGAAGCTAAGCATCACCCCCAAAAAATGAAACATTCTTGTCAACCACTGATTTTTTCTGCTTAAAACCATCGAGGGAGACTCAAGTCAACTTCATCCAAGAACCATCACGGAGCACCTGGGTCTTGGGCTAAACACCCCATGGTCATCGCCAGAAGTGGTCTCTCTGAGCTTCCAGGCTGCAAATTGGGCATGAAGCGTTGGATCGGCTCCATCCACTGCTTGGGGCCGATGAGCCAACCTGTCTACCGTGTTCGCCAGCGCTTCAGGTGTTGTTGCCTAGAACTATGAACAATTTGTATCATGTATCTGTCACTTTACTACGAGATCACCATTAGAAAAAACAAACACCTAAACATACCTAAACAAAGCAAAAGCACCTCACCATGGTGGTAGGATGACCAAAGACCATCCGAACTCTAGCAGCCATGTTCTTCTCTTCTTCCAGGGCACGGTGGATCTCGAAGAGTTGGTGAGCATTCACTCCGGTGGGCCCCCCCAGGCCACCGCTCATGCTGAAGAGGAGCGGTTGCAGGAAAAAGCACTTCAGCTGGACCGCTGTGTCACTTGATGTCGCTCCGGGTTGACCCAAACTGCTCTTCACTCGACGAGTGGAGCGCCAAGGGGCCGATCTGCCAGCCGGTGATGCCGAAGGTCTTGCCCGCAGAGCTGACCTCGGGCGTCTCAAAAATCGTCCATCCGAAACGTAGGATTCCAAGCAGCATGTTCCATTGCTTTCATGCATGGTGTTTTGGGAGCAGGCTGGCTCATTAATGGATTCCGACTGGAATCACCCAAATCAACCTTTGCTGTTCGTGGTCTCAGAAGGAACAAGCGAGCGAACTGGCGGACAGGCACTTCGAGACAAAAGCCCTTATGGCCCCTTTAATTACGGTTCACCAGCTTTCAAGGAAGGGATCATTGAGGTCTCCTCATGCCTCCTGGGCAGCTTCGGATACATACCTGTGAGCCCTAAAACCGACCTTCCACCTCTGAATCGCTATCGCGTGTACCGCCCCACCCCGCCGGTGTCCGCCTCGGTTACCAAACGGGCCAAGACACGGTCAGCGTGCGTTCCCACATGCCCGGCAGCTTGGCGAAATGGACGTGACCCTTCGGTGCGTCCTGCGAAGAAATGCGGCAGCGGGCCCGGTAGCACGGTCCATTTCTCTCACTCGAACGGTTCTTTGATGTTCTTCCCTAGGGATCCAGTCGTACCTTCTCAGGTACGGTGATTGGAGTAGGTTTTGAGGGTCCAAGTACCGTACCTGAGAAGGTACGACTGGATCCCTAGGCTTTGATGTTCTTTTGATCTTGAACTTGTGATGCCCACGGCCGGCCGTGGATCAACGTGAATGCCACTTGGAGACACCACGTTCATCCACTATAGCAAATCTAGGTCGAATCTCCGTCTGGGAAGCACGAAGTTAGGATGCCCGCTGGGGTTGCCCCTGTGCTACACACCCACTTGTTGCAAAACGTCTGCTTCAACTACCGTTCCTTTGTTCAAAGGGCTCTCTATATACCGAGTCATGGATCCACGCTGCCTAGGCGAGCCACTGAAGTACTGTTGGGTCTGCTGGGCACTCCAGCACTGACCCCACTGCACCAAATTCACCGGGAAACCCGCCGTTTCCCTGACAGGTGAACGGTGAACCGATCTTTCCACTTTCTGAGTTCTCCCAATGCCTCCAAAACAGTTCAGTCTTCTATGGCGACCCCGGGGCCCTCCGTTCCCCGTTCCCCTCCAGTCCCCCCTGTTCCCGTGTAACGGTCGGCTGAACACGGACCCACGGCCTTGGCGGTGCTTGGGGACCCGCTGGGCGGATCGAAAATCATGTACTTGTAGACCTGGCAGATCGGTGAAGTGGGGGGCCTTCATGGACCCCGGAAGCCGAAGCTGGGAGAGGACCGCTGGATCCAATTGGAGCCAGCTGCATCGCTGAAGTCGCCAGGGTGACACCGGTCTTTTCATGAGCCAAACACTCCCTGGGACTTGGCATATTTACCTACCATTACCTACCTCTCCCGCCTTTTGCACCACCCTAATGTATGTAAATTGCTCCAGTCCCATGGATGCTTGCTGTGGCTTCCCATGGGATGCACCTCACATCCAAACCCGTCCACAACGCTCAGCCTCGCCGCGCAAAGAATCGCTGAAGCCTCGTCGCTGATCACTAAGATGTGCGGGTGCTGTTCCACCAACTTGGCAATCGCCTCAACATGGGAACGCCCCAGGCGTTGTCGGCTCCAACCGTTTACTTTTTTTTGCGGAAAGGGATCAGTGTGTGCGGATCAGGGGATCAGGGGGGCGATCTCAGAAGAAAAAACATAATATGTATAAACATATAGATCATTCATATATACAGTATTACCCCGTATGAATGTACAGTATAGACGGACTCTTGATTAATTCTAACAAGTACCCCCATCATGAAGAGGCGTTGATGTTACATGGTTTGACCATCCATGTCTGCTGGCATTTCACCGAAGGCTTGTGGACTAGAGACCTCGTCTTCCTCACCTTCATCAGTGGCGGTTCTGGACCGAGCCCTGGTACGTAGCAGGACCTGTTTGCGCGTCCTGTCTGGAGATCCCTTTGTGGTAGTGCAGGATCGCCCAGGACAGGAGGGTCCTGGAAGTGATGTCTTTCTTGTGCTCTTCATTTCTTCGTTCCTAGCGATTCACAGGGATCAAGTAAACCTCACACATGACGATATGGAGTCACATGTTTCGGTCCCAGCCTTAAGCTCCCATTCTTCGAAGGCCTTCCCCGTGGGGTTGTGCCTCTGTACAAGAACATCGGGCAGCGCGCTCGAACGCAGGGCCGTGCAAAAGGCAAACAATGGGGAGCTTGAAAATGAACCTCATTGAATAATGGAGGATCTATCTAGCCCGTCCATCAGTGGAAGGGCTTCAGCCACCCAAATGATCTTGTACTGCCACCGGGACATCTCAAGAGCCCTCATGCCTCAAAGGATGGCCAAAAAGTCGTAAGAAACAGTACCAAAAGCGTGTCCCCCTGCTCAAACTTTGGAGAGTTCATATCTATATATCGTTCTTTTTCCCGCAAGTGGGGTCTGCCGGTAAGCCAAGTGGGGCATGATGATTCTTTCATTGTTCCTTCTGGCGGAAGAACCTAGAAGAACCACTTGCGCATTGCCTTGCTTCACTGCTTCTCTTAGTGGAACACAGTGGAACCAGGTCTGTGCATCACTGCTTCGGCCACTGAGACAAACCCCATGGGCTGGATTCGATCTTCAAAATCATAGGCCGCAGTGGCTCAACGCAAACACCATGGGACTGGGGCGGGGCTCCATGGGATCGGTGCCATTCGGGGGCGGAGTCTTCGGCGAGCCAGAGCCATTCGGATCCATTCAGCACCCTTCAAAACCCACTCCAATATTCTACAGAGGTTAAGTGACCTGAACTAGGACCCGTCACCAGGAGTACCTACAGGATAGTCTAGTTAGGGTTCTTCAACCTCTGATGGATCTTCTTAGGATGCAATCGCGGTTTGGTCACTTTTTCAGCGAGATGCGAGTGGTGGGAGAAATTCCAACCCTAGAAGTTCAAAGATTACGATGTGGCACCACCTAATAAGTAAAGGACATTTCTCTTTCAGGTCACCTAGTCATATGTTCATGTAGTCTTGGACTTTCCAGGGACTACCAAGAACAAAACGTCCCTTTCAGGAGACCAGTCCGACCAAGTTTATAATTGTTTATAATCTTTAGACCCCAGGAGGCCAAAACTTCCATTGGATTTGTCCGAAGGAAAGCAGCCACTTCAGCAGAAAGACTTCCTTTCTTCCTCACATTTCGCCCCAGGCAGAGTCAATGCAGGGTACATCTTCCAGTCTCATGCAATGGAAAGTATCCACTTGGCCACACAAATCAAAGGGAAAAGCATCCACTTCGCATCAACAAGTCTCGTGTTTCTGCTGTTCCCCCCCCCACCTACGAAAAGCCTTCGGCTGAACAATGACACCGCGCGCGGTCATCGTGTCAGTCACCGGTGCCCGTGCTTCGGGGCCCCGCGCGGCGTGTTCACGATGAGCGCGCAGGTGTCAGGACCTAAAGCCTCCCAGTTTCGGGTGGGTCATTCAAATGAGGAAGTCACAAAAATACACCTGGAGTCTCAAAGTACCCCGGAAAATGGTCCAGGTACAAGGATTAAACAACAAATACGAACTGGGTAGTGCTGATACACTCCCGCGCAAGAATTCCATGGAAAATATAGATATATGAAAATAGAATTTATAGCAATTGTTTCATCGGTTCATTGTCATGTAGTGCAGTATTCCACGAATTCCCCAAAACAGTATCGTGCAGGTGATCCACCCCATCCTGGGTAGGTCAACATCCACTCTACATACCTTGAGCCCTCGGAGACTTGCTTGGAGACTAAGGCATAGTATCCATCCATCCTGGATGGTAACAGGGATGGATGGATCTTCAGACTCCCTGGGATGGTCTGGTTCACATCTTCGGGAGCAAAGGGCATCCAAGGCATCGGAGGTTGAATCGGATTTCAGCCCCAGCGCTGATATGTCAGAAGCAGCGTCAGCAGCGTTAGAGTGATGAATATCATGCAGCGTTGGAGTGCTCATTTGATGTGTGCTGTATCCCAAACACTCCATGAGTTGGGGGGCTTCAAAAGGGGTCAATGTAGGCATATATAAAATATAATATATGGCATATATAAGGAGTGTTTGGGTATAAGGAGGTACTGTATAATGTAAAGGTTCAGATATATTTCCCACACGTGACCCTGGACCCTCATATGGTTGGGGTCGGACCCAAATCCTCTGGAGGAGTCTGGGGTCTGTTTGGAGCGTCTGGGTATTTAAGCTTGTGATGGTTAGGACTTTGTGCCACAGTGCCGCTGGGCAAAAAAATGCACGCACGCTCCAACCAAAACAATACAACAAAGTAAATGACAACTGACATAACAGAATCATTGTCCCTCAAAACTTGGAGGCTTTCAGGGATTAGCAGTCTTTGAAGTCAAAGACCCTCGCCATGATCCTTGGGCCGACTCCTTTGCATCCATTCATGAGCTCCTGAACTGCTGAGCCACCGGAGTAGCACTGCACCGGGCCAAACGCCACGCGCGGCACGGCACCGGGCCTCGGCGAGGGCGGCTTCATCGAGCTCGAAGGCATGCGCCTCCTCGTCGAAGCGCAGGGGAACGCTGCGGAACTCCGCGTGGAGGCCGCGCGCCTCGCGAAGCTGGCTGCAGGTGAAAAGAACCAAAGGGCAGGCGGGCCCTTGATGTGTGGGGGCTGTGTACGATGTGTAATCGCTAGCGAGTATTTTTTGGCGTGAGCAGCTAGCAGCTAGTTAGCTCAACACTCTGAAGCCTTTTTTAGATAAATTCTAAGAGCACTCGTGTGTGTGTGTGTAGCTCACGCCTGGCCTACCTGGTTAACATCTTTAGGCCTCTACTCCCTCTCGAACACAACAAGAAAACCCAATCCCCTGCAAACCCCTCTCAGGCTGTGGCACCCAAACCGGCCCACATGATCCAAATTGAGCCACGAATGCTCAGGAACCTTCGAGTGAGGGGACACCAAGCATCACCAACTGAGCATTGGGGCAACACTCGGAGTCCTGGCAACTCTCCCTTTACTGACAAGTCCTGGCTGTGAGTACCTCGAAAGCGTGTCCAAAAGAGCATGCTCAGAAAAGCTGCCCTTGATGTACACACATGCCCATTCGATTCATGTAGATGTTCCCATGCCCATGCCCCCCCAAAAAGAAGTCCAACATCGTGAGGCAAGCGTGAACATGGATGGTTTGTGAGGTTATTTATATACAACTTAACCGAGCCCTAAGGTGGTTAGACCCCAACAACCCGCCCCAACCACCGAACCTCAGGAGGTGGGCCAGGAGCCCTAGAAAACAATACATCCTCACCTGTTCTTCCGAACTTCTGCTCAAGGCTCCGCGTCTCCGAGAGCTGGGGCCTCTGGCTTTCCAGACCCGAGCGCCTTCACAAAAAACATGAAGTGACCAGGCGTTGTAGCCTAAAATCCTTAGTAAAACAATCGGGGTTCGGATTGGTTCGGGATTCAGGCTATTGACCCTTGGGCTATTCAGGCTATTAACCCTTGGGCTCCAACCCTGTTCTCAGGTGGTCCCCTGGCACCCACCCCTTCTCAGGACCACGAATCCTAAGGAACATGGTGTCTCCCCCCCATCGCACCTGCGAGCGATAGAGTTCGAAGAAAGGCTCCAAGGCCACGATCTCTCGGCCGTGGCCTCGCGCTAATGCAGCCTGAGCGTCGCGTGGTGCGGTCCGCGCGGTGCATGGCATGGCTCTGGTGAAAGCTGCCTTTCCAGCCCCACGGGGGTGGTTCTACTGCCATGTGAAATAGAAGTGGGATTATATTATGTAGCTCATGGATACTCATTATATATTTATAAGTATATTTATATATACATAATAATATATATATATGTATATACACCCTAGAAGTCGAAAGACTATATTTTGACCGGCTGAAGTAAAGGAAGTTCCCTTTCAGGTCCCCTAAAGACCATTCTTTTTATCGTCTGACCGACTCCCAGGGTATAATATAGTAATTTACCAGGTATATACCCTAGGTCATCCCTCTACCAGGTCTCTTCGGCTTTTGCATGCTTTTGCAAGTGGGGCGACCGACTCCTGGTGAGGAGCCCGCGGGGTGTACCGCAGTACCCCCCGATGCCCCACATCGTCGTCGTCCGCGCCTGCATGGCCAAGAACAGCGCGTTGGTGGCTCCCACAGTCACGGCCACCTGCATAGACCGGAGGGCCGGGCTTCACTAGATCAGCGCCCTAAGAATCCTTGGACCCCGTCGGACCCGACACCGAAACGCAGAGGTCCGGGCCCGAAACCAACGTTATGTCTTGGTTCGGGCCTGGATTCTCAGAGTTACAGTCGAAATATGAAGAGTTATGTAGAGCCACTGATCCCTTTTGCAAAAGAGTTCTAAAAGGTATGACGGAGCACTGCGTGCAACTAGTTGCATTCCCATATTAATGTATTTACACTTAAAAGGGGATCGAAGGTTGTTAGAGTCTACGTTACAGGTGTTCCGGAAAGAAGCGTTCCAAAGAAGAACGGGTCAGGAATTGATCTCATTGCACAGGAGCTGATCATACCCCCAAAAAAGAACTGGACCTCTAGGGAACCCGATTTATGTCCGATATGTTGTCTCTCCCCATGACCTCGATGGGGAAAATGTTGAAGAATGGGGCGGTGCTCTCACAGCCAGCCATGCAGCCACCATTGGGATGGAATATTGACCGCCATTGGGATGGTTTTAGGATGTGTTAGGGGTCCATGCATACTTTACCACCAAAAACAAGGGTCCTAGTCTCTCCTAGTTCACGTCTTCCAACCTCTCCGGCCTCTCGGCACGGACGGCGGAACCGTGCCGCCTCCTTCATCGGATCCAAGGGCCGTCCGAGATGTCCCTCATAGCGCTCCGCCAGCGCCTCCGCCGAAGTCGTTCGGTGGGCGGGAGCGTCGCGACTTAGCCCCCCCGGCTCCACGGGAAGGACCCAACTTCTGAGGATATGGTTGGAGCCCCAGGGTAGTAAGGGGTTTGGGGAACTCCTTGTAGCTCGGAACGCCTCCCTGTTGAGCTGGGGAAGGACTGGATACCCCTGTTGCTCCCCCAAAAAGCTGCTCCCTCCTGAGCTAGCAGCTAGCCAAGGAGAAGGGACTCGTGCGAGGTGAAGCAGGGCATCATGAAGTGTCTCACCGGGTCGGACCCGACCTTGTCGCAGGGGTCGCCCTCAAAACCCTAGGTCTTTGAGGGCCCAGATTCTTAGGGCAGCATCTCAGTCAATGGTGTTCATATGTTTTCTAATTACAGTAGATGCACCAATGGGCCACGTGAATCCACCGGTAGTGAGGGCCTTTTGGAGGGGGGGCAGGTACCGTTGGTCAGGTCAGTTTGATCTCACTTGTGCTTCGCCCCCAAACATGCCAAAAACTGCACTCAAATGCGAGGACCAGGTCCTTTGACTGGTTGATACGTCCTTCGCTTGGTGACCTTGGCGTCCCCGCCTCGACGAGGGTCACGTGCCCGGCCGTCCTGCGAAGCGCCAAATCCACGGGGAGGATCCATTGAAGTTGTCACCGAAAACGCTGGAAATCGTGATCAAAAGAAAGACTGTTAAACCAGCAGGACACATTCTTGCTCCTCCGGCTGAGACGCAGTTGACTCTTGGGAACACACACATTCACCCAGGGACTCGGTAACTGCAACACCATGCAGACATAGCTCTGAAATCACCTCCGGTGCATGTCTGAAGCCTCAAACGGTCAACCCTCGGACCCTGAGCCCTTGGAGACGGATTCTGGGAAGAAACCATAGTCATTTGGATGCGAAGCGGACATGAAGAGCAACATGCATCACCTGGCGATGTCCAGTGATCGAACCGCCCTAGGGCTCCAAGCTCCTTCCAAGGTGCTTGGGGTGGGTGCCAGGAGGCTCCAGCCATACCTTCTGAGGAGGTATGGCTGAAGCCCAACTGGGATAGTCAGCACGACCCTCATCCACCGCACCATGTCTCACTGAATGTCCACCTGGTTCAACCTGGCGCCGGCACTCTGTCCCTCCCCACGAAGTGTACTCTGGCACCCGTCTCCCCCAGCTGGCACTCTGTCTCCCCCACTCTGTATCCCCTCCGAATGGTAGACCGGCCACTCTCTCCCTCCACATCCCGGCCACTCACCTGGTATACTCTGTATACCCTCCGGCACTCTGCATACGTCCCTTCGTCTCAGCCCTCCCTCCACTCTGTCCCATTGCCACCTGGTATACTGGTGTCGTGTGCGCACCGCGCCCACCACCGGGCCCTCCAGCTCATCGCGGAGCGCCTGATCCAGCGGTCCGGGGGCGGGGGAGGTGGCTTCGAGGGTCACGGTAGGCATATATGGAGTGTCTGGGATAGATATTAAATACATAGATGCATAGATGCATCGATGCATCGATGCATCGATGGATGGATGGATGGATGGATGGATGGATGGATGGATGCATCGATGCATCGATGCATCGATGGATGGATGGATGGATGGATGGATGGATGCATCGATGCATGGATGGATGGATGGATGGATGGATGGATGGATGGAGGGAGGGAGGGAGGGGGGGATGGATGGATGGATGGATGGATGGATGGATGGATGGATGGATGGATATATACTGTAGATAGATAGATATAAATAGATAATTAGATAGAATGGGATAGGGTAGGATATTTAACATTAACCCCTCGGCTGTCTGGCAAGGGAACAAGCAATGGCTAACAAAATGGAAGGACACCCATCAACCAACGACCAATGCAAATGCACAGCTTCCATGATCCCAGCTGACCAAGTGCGCCCATGGGAGAAGGGCGTGCTTGCTTGAGCTCAAGCATTCGGAACATCCCTCCGTCGTCGGTTCTTCGACGCAAGCGGAGCCGCCGTCGCGCCGAAAAGCCCGACTTCGATGCAGAACGTGAGCTCAACAACGACTTGGCTGGCAGACTTGGCACTGCTCCAATCAGATCAATGCATTGAATTGGTGTATAATTAGGACACATCGTTGCCTTGAGGATGCCAATTAATCACAATTCAGGATATTGAGAGGTGCAGCGGTGTGTATGAGCTAGCGATAACACAATCACTCTCTCTAGATCGGGGCACCTCAAGGCCCAAGGCCCTCCTCCATGGCACACTGCCGGTCGACAGTTGCTGCAACCAACGTCAGCAAGGGCGAAAGTTCCCGCCGCGAAGTGAAATCCCGGTCCGTCCCATTGGCTCGCCCATGGCAGCAACATCAGGTGAGCCCATCTGCCTGTCACTCTGATCTCGCCGACCACCTTCATGCAAGACCAGCCTGTATTGAGAAGGTTATCATGCATCAATGCCCCCTGCACCCATCCAAGGCTGAGTTGACACCGATGCAGCTGTAAGACTGCCTGTTGCGCGTTCGTCGTGCAAGAGCACCCACTTAAATGAGTTGTGGGAGGAGCACCTTTGCTCACACAACCAAGGTCTCTCTTCAAAAGAGCTCAAGCATTCTCTCACCTCTGGCTATATGGAGAGGGAACATCTGCAAGTGCCACCTAAGGATCCCTAAGGTGTGGTGAATTGACACCCCGAAACCTCCTGATAGGGGCTATCATCAAAGACCCCTTAGGGGGCCCTGGTATTAGTTGTCCACCTGGTCTCGACCAAGGCTCAGCAGGATATCACATGCTGAGCCTTGCCCCCCTCCATCCGCGGAGTCTTCTCCGGAAGCTCCCTTGCGTTCCCTCCCCTGCGCGGCTGCGCGCGGCTGCGCGCGTCACCTGCACCACGAACTCCGGGGGGTCGAAGTTGGGAAAGCCTTGGCCCAAATCCACGCAGGAGTCGCCCAGCATCCTGGCGGGACGTAGTCGCGACCGCGCGGTCGATCGCGGTCGATCGTCAGGGTCCACTCCGAGGACTGGAACCCGTTTGGGCGTGCCTCCGTAACGAAGGTATGACCGGACCCTCGAAAAAATCCACCCCCAAACACCTTCTTAGAAGGTACTTGGAGCCCACCGGGTTAAGCAACATCCCTGACCACAAAGCAGCTTCATTCACACATACAGTGGTGTATACTTCGAGGGGTGCAACTGCTGAACTTGGAAGACGGTCCATTTTTTTCGGTTTGGAAATTCGCGCCGTCGGGCGCCGTCGGTGCCCGTCCGTGGGGCAGTACATGTTGCTCAAGCACTCGTCCCAAATATTTATATATTATATAGACACTCCCGACTGCCATGTCTGACGCAGCCGCTGATGAAGAAGCAACAGCAGCAGCAGCTCCGGCTGCGAGGCGCCCCGCCATCATATATCTGTTGGTTCGCACCGCCGGCACGCACATAGTACGCTGATCATGTTTGGGAGCGCCCACAAGCAACGTGATTTTGTTTGGGCCGCATCTGGACATTAATGTTTATCATTTTTGGAAAGGCTATACTTGGCACCAGACTGGTTCAGACCTCCAACCACTTCCTGATGAATTTAAGTCGTGAGGCACCCAGCCGCCGATCGGCTGGTTTCGCTCAAAACACAGCGGCAGAACCTGAAGCGGCAGCTCCAGCAAGCGAACCGTGAGGTTCGCAATGAGGCGACCGGCGCATGATCCACATGTATTGTTGAAATTTGATGCAGTATTGTGTTGCTTGTGCTTCCGACTTGCGCGCGGCGCGACTCATTCTGGCGCACATGCAGGAGAAAAAGCGACAGAGACTCATGCGGCGCGCTGGCAAGTTGAGCTCTGCTGATCTCACCTGGCTGCTGGCGCGTCGAGTGCAATCTGAGCAGTCTGAGCAGATGTCCACATAGCTATATTGCAGGGCACATTGGCAGTGTTTGGGGAAAGAGAGACTTGCGCCCATGTGCTAGCTTTTGTTGACAGCTAAGCTGACAACTGCTGAGCGGGGGCTGTCAGAGCAACCTTGCTGAAGTGGCCGTGCTCGCAGAAGCCGGCGCAAGCGATAAATATGTCACCTGTCACCCACGTGCTAGCTTTTTGTTTACAGCTAAGCTGACAACTGCTGAGCGAGGGCTGTAAGAGCAACCTTGCCGAACTGGCCGTGCTCGCAAAAGCTGGCGTATGCTGGGCTAGAGTCCCTCACATCTCTCCCTCTCTCTCTGTCTAGGCTTGCTAGTCCAGGTTTGTCGTGCCCGCAGTACCCTGCAGCAGCTGAGGCAGATAATATGAGCTCCTCAAAGAGATAGTGAGATGTTTGATGTTGACATACTATTACCGTGTAATATGATGCGTCAACTACAGGGTTGGCCCAATAAAGAAACATGTGACGCAAATTGTTTGGTTGCGTGCGGTTGCCCTTGCCTTGTTACCGGGGTTTATGTTTTGGACCACCTCCAGAAGCAGTTTTCGGAAACCCTTCGGTCATTCTTGCTCTGGATTGCAGCCAGGAAGCGGAACAACTTTGAAAGGAAAAACGGTATCACAGAAATTAAAGACAAGCAGACCACAAGATGATAGCAAAACCACAATCTGACCCTGCCAAGACTGTGGACTTTGTTGCTCCTAGTGCTTTCAAGGACCCTTCTCAACATTCTGTTTTGTTACACTTTTCGAGCAAATGACCTTGCTCAACGTTTGCTTCGGTTGCTAATGGCAACGTTATGTTGCGTTGTGGATGTAGCGCTTTTCAATTGTTGGTTTCGCCGCTCCATGTCATTCGGTGGCTGATGCGCCAGCGGCTGATGCGCGGCGCCTTCTTCGACTTCGAGCTCTTCATCCGCGGTCAGGTGGCCGCTCGGCCTGTGGGGTGACGCGGGCTCCTGGCCTTACTACTAGGAGCACGGACGCTACTAGGGGCTCCTGGCCTTATTACTAGGAGCAAGGACGCTACTAGGGACTCTTGGCCTTACTTTCAGGACGCTAGTAGGGGGCTCCTGGCCTTGTTACTAGGAGCAAGGACTCCTGGCCTTGCTACTGGCCTTCTTAGGGGCTCCTGGCCACATTGCGAGGAGCGAGGACGCTACTCGGCGCTCCTGGGCTTACTACTGCGTCGCGCGCTCGTCGGTTTGCAGGTGCCTTCTTCGACTTCAAGCTCTTCATCCGTGGTCGTGTCAACCAGCCCAGGTGGCCGCTCGGCCTGTTGGGTGACGCGGGCTCCTGGCCTTATACTAGGAGCAAGGACGCTAGTAGGGGCTCCTGGCCTTACTCTGGTCTTATTACTAGTTACTAGGAGCAAGGACGCTACTAGGGGCTCCTGGCCTTACTACTAGGAGCAAGGACGCCACTAGGCACATGACTAGGAACGAGGACGCTACTCGGCGCTCCTGGCCTTACTACCGCGGTCGCTCGCTCGTCGGTATGCAGGTGCCTTCTTCGACTTCGAGCTCTTCGCCCGTGGTCGTATCAACCGGCCACGTGGCCGCTCGGCCTGTCGGGTGACGCGGGCTCCTGGCCTTGCTACTAGGAGCAAGGGGCTCCTGGCCTTATCGCTAGGAGCGAGGACGCTACTAGGGGCTCCTGGCCTTACTACTAGGAGCAAGGATGCTACTAGGGGCTCTGCCTTATTACTAGGAGCAAGGATGCTACTAGGGGCTCCTGGCCTGACTACTAGGAGCAAGGACGCTACTAGGGGGTCCTGGCCTTACTACTAGGAGCAAGGATGCTACTTCCTGCCTTACTACTATAGGGGCAAGGACGCTACTAGGGGCTCCTGGGGTGGGCGTGTTGGCGATGCCTTCAGTGCATCCCTTATTTAGGTTCAGATGTCCACATGCTTTCTGCGTTCGGCTGCTGGGACGATTGATATGCACACATGGATCCAAACTTTCATTTGTGTTTAACCTCGGCCTTCTCAGTGCCGTGCACTGTCCGCATTTCGGGTGATATTTTGGAAGTTGCATTCGAGCGTGCTGTCGCGCGCCGGTGTGACCTCAGGAACAGCTGCTTGGAAGCCGTCGCCTTGCTGAGCGAACCTGCAGGCTTTGACCTTCGGCTTGGACCTTGCGGCGTTTGTCATGCAGTTGGGCGACGCGGTGGGTGGGATGTCGGTGATGAGTGCATCCCCTATTTTACATTTATTAGATGTCTCCATGCTTTTCTATTTTCGGCTGCTGGGGCGATTGATATGCACACATGGATCCAATCTTTCATTCGTGTTAACCTCGCCCTTCTCAGTGCCGTGAGCTGCCCGTATTTCAGTGATAATTTTGGAAGTTGCATTTGGGCGTGCTGTCGCGCGCCGGTGTGACCTCAGGAACAGGCTGCTTGGAAGCCGTCGCCTTGCAGAGCAAACCTGCAGGCTTTGACCTTCGGCTTGGACCTTGCGGCGTTTGTCATGCAGGTGGCCGCTCGGCGTGTTGGGCGACGCGGTGGGGCATGTTGGCGTTGCCTTCAGTGTTAGATACCCCCATGGTTTCGGTTTTCGGCTGCTGGGGTCCGATTGATATGCACACTGGACACATGGATCCAAACTTTCATTCGCATTAACCTCGGCCTTCTCAGTGCCGTGCGGTGTCCGCACTTTGGGGGAGTTTGGAAGTTGCGTTCGAGCGTGCTTTTGCGCGCCGGGCGACCTCAGGAACAGAGCTTGGAAGCCGTCACCTTGCTGAACCTCTGTCTGATTCGATCATCATGTGGCTCAGTCACAACATATTGAAATGATCAGCTCCATCTCAAAACAGAGAACTTCCATTTTTCACTCAATAGTCGAAGAGGAACCGCAGTGTCACAAGTGATGTGTAGAAAATGCAAAAACACACTCATTTCCTTTAACCTCTTGCATAGTGTCCCATAGGTACCGTCAATGCGTGCGCTACTTGTGGAATCAGTTTTCGTGGCACGCACAGGGGACCTCTTTGCGTGGCATGCGCAGCATTTGGTGAACCTCTGATTCGATTTTTCGGGGCAGGCGCAGCGTTTGTTAAACTTCTAGCTCCACTTTTCGTGGCAGGTGCAGCATTTGGTGAACCTCTGTTTCCATTTTTTGCGGCAAGCGCAGCATTTGGTAAGCTTCTAGTTCCACTTTTCGTGGCAGGCGCAGCATTTGTTGAACCTCTGATTCGATTTTTCGGGGCAGGCGCAGCGTTTGGTAAACTTTAGTTCCACTTTTCGTGGCAGGCGCAGCTTTTGGTGAACCTCTGTTGCCATTTGTCGTGGCAGGCGCAGCATTTAGTGAACTTCTTGTTCCATTTTTCGTGGCAAGCACAGCATTTCTTAAACTTCTAGTTCGATTTTTGGTGGCAGGCGCAGCGTTTGGTGAAAACCTGCTTTCATGTTTCGTGGCCGGCGCACGGAATTTGAAGCTCCAGGTGGCCCAACGTGTGGCCAGACGCTGAATCGTAACGTTGGAATCCAACGTTATGCTCGTTTTACGTGGCAGGCGTGGGACAAAAGTCGAAATCGTAACGTTGGACGCGTTTGAAAAAGATTATAGTAATTCTCTTTTTTGAACCGAGTCCAACGTTATGATTTGCACTTTTTTGTGAAACTGTCGCCGAAAACGGATCGTAACGTTGGATTCCAACGTTATGATTTGCGTTTTCGTGTGGGGAGTACTCCGATTTTGGCCGCGCTGGCTGTGCTGAAAGTGGAGATTTCGTGGCAGGCGCAGCGCTTTGTGAACCTCGAGGTGCCGATGTCGTGGCAGGCGCAGGGCTTTGTGAACCTCGAGGTGCAGATTTCGTGGCAGGCGCAGCGCTTTCTGAACGTCCAAGTGGAGATTTCGTGGCAGGCGCAGCGCTTTGTGCACCTGAAAGTGCAGATTTCGTGGCAGGCGCAGCGCTTTGTACACCTCGAAGTGCAGATTTCATGGCAGGCACAGCATTTTGGGAACCTCGAAGTTCGAAGTGGAGATTTCGTGAACCTGAAAGTGCAGATTTCGCAGGAGGGGCAGCATTTTGAGAACCT